CTGCCTGTGGGAGGGGACTCAGGGTAGGGCTTGGGGTGCAGGACAGGGTGTAGCGTGTAGGTTCTGGGTGGGGGGTCAGGAATGGGGGAGGGGCTGAGGTGCAGAAGAGGGTTTGGGGGGCAGGAGGGAGTATGGAATGCTGACTCTGAGATGGGGCTCAGGGCTGGGGTGGTATTTTGGGGTGCTGGCTCTGGGAGGAGGGTCAGGGTTGGGGCAGGAGTGCAGGAGGGGCTGCTGGATCTGGGAGGGGGCAGGAGTCCAGGAGGGGGTTGGGGGTGCAGGAGGGGGTTCTGGATCTGGGAGGGGGCAGGGATGCAGGAGGGGGTGCTGGTTCTGTGAGAAGATGCTTGGGTGCAGAGGGGGTGCTGGACCTGGGTGGGGAGTAGGGGGGGATGCTGGCTCTGGGAGGGTATGTGATGGCACGTCAGGGACCCCCCCGATCCTGCACCCCATCTGCAACATGATGAGACTCCACCAGCCAGTAGAATAAAGAGGGTTTATTGCTTCTGCAAGGTACAGCACAGCCCGGGTTCTATGTGGGTATCAAAGTGAGGGGCCAGGTAGCCTCAGACCCCATGGGGTAGGGGTCTATAGCCCCCCCTTCCCCAAGTATTCCACTTAGTCTCTTCTCTTCCAGCCAAGACTGACCAGCACCCGGCCCCAAGCTGCTGCAATGAGAGAAGGCTGGGGTAGTCCTCACTTCCCGGCACAGCCTGCATACCAAGCCCCATATCCCCAACCCCACACCAGACCAATGATGTACACAAAGCATGGACATTTGCATTTTATTTTCCAAAAAAACAATTAATTAAGGACCCGAGCAACAGTGGGACAATATTCTAGTTATCTATATGTTAACTATTTCCTTTTGATCTCTGAATGAAGAGAATGCAGCCCTAGACAGGAACAGTCTGAATACAGTGTTAAGCTCTAACAAGATGTAAGTAAACATAGGCTATTACAAGTACTATGTTCCTCCAGTTCTTTAACAACAAAAGTTTATATTTCAAAGGTCTAGCTTATCTAATGTGGACTGGAACCTAATTACCGTTTACACACACATCTAACATGTCTCTAACGGATGAGTCGGGATAAATCAGTTGGCAAGTTGTTTAACCCTTTCTTGGCTAGTGTCACAGGATTTTAGATCCTGTGTGAATTCTTCCATGTAAAATGAGGTGTGCCTTCTGTATGAAACTTTTTCCACAGTCCAAGCATGTATAGGGTCTCTCCCCAGTGTGGAGTCTCTGATGATTTATAAGAGTAGATCTCTGTATGAAACATTTCCCACAGTCCATGCATTTATGGGGTTTCTCTCCTGTGTGGATTCTCTGATGCCTAACAAGGTCTGACCTCCATACGAAACACTTTCCACATTTTAAGCACTGATGGGGTCTCGCTCTTGAGTGCAATTTCTGATGTTTAACAAGGTCTGACCTCCATATGAAACTTTTTCCACAGTCTAAGCACTTGTGGGGTCTCTCTCCTGTGTGGACTGTCTGATGTGAAATAAGGGCTGACTTGACCCTGAATTTTTTCTCACAGTACAAGCACTGGTGGGGTCTCTCTCCTGTGTGGATTGTCTGATGAGTAACAAGATCTGACCTCCGCATAAACCTTTTCCCACAGTCTAAGCATTTGTGGGGTCTCTCTCCTGTGTGTCTTGCCAGATGTCTAACAAGGTCTGACCTTCGTGCAAACTTTTTCCCACAGTCCAAGCATTTATGGGGTTTCTCCCCATTGTGGATAGTTTGATGATTTCTAAGAGATGATCTCAGCGTGAAACATTTTCCACATTCCAAACACTTGTAGGGTCTCTCTGCTGTGTGCATTCCCTGATGCTTAATAAGGGTTGAACTCTGTGTGTAACTTTTCTCACCGTCCACGTATTTGTGGGGTCTCTCCCCCATGTGGACCTTTTGATGATTCATAAGAGTTGATCTCTGTATGAAACTTTTTCCACAGTCCAAGCACTTGTGGGGTCTCTCTCCAGTGTGGAGTCTCTGATGATTTATCAGAATTGATTTCTGTATGAAACATTTCCCACAGTCTAAGCATTTATGGGGTCTCTCGCCCGTATGGACTGGCTGATGTCTAACAAGGTCTGCCCTCCATTTGAAACCTTTCCCACAGTTTAAGCATTTATGGGGTCTCTCTCCTGTGTGGACTGCCTGATGTCTAATAATGTCTGACCTCCATTTGAAACTTTTCCCACAGTCTAAGCACTTATAGGGTCTCTCTCCTGTGTGGCTCATCTGGTGTGTAACTGGTGTCAACGTCCAATTCAAACAGTTCCCGCAATCCAGGCATCGATAGGGATCCTCTCCTGTGTGGCTTCTCCCTTGGTGATTAAGGTCTGAGCAGTGACTGAAGCTTTCTCCACGGTCCAAGCATTGAAGGGGTTTCTCTCCAGAAGGGATTGTCCCAAGTGTCACAAGGTGTGAGCTCAGAATGAAGCCTTTCCCACACTGCAGGCACTGGAAGGGTTTCTCTCCCTTGGCATTTATGTGCTGGGCCGTGGGATCCTTGTCTCCTCCCTCACATTTAATAGATTCCTCCACTTGCCTCTCTGAGTAGTTTCCCAGCAGCCTCTCTGAGCGGGGCCAGTTCAAAAAGGCTTCTCCTTGTTCCCAGCAGAGAGAAAAATTCCCTTTAGCTCGTCCCACAGAGGTCCCCTGTGATTCCATTTCCCCTGGAACTTCCTGATGGGCATTCTCTTCCTCCTTTACACTCGCTGTCTCATCACCTGCTGGGAGAGAGAGACAATCCAGGCAGGAGTCACTGAGCTAGGGAGAAAGAGGAACAGCACCCAGGGAAAACCCAACACACTGACATTGCACAGGATGAGCAATGGGATTCCGTCTTCATTCCCCACACAACCACACACGAGGAGGGAAAACGGGAATGAAACTCCTGCCCTCTGAGTGATATCTGCTGGTGACAGCCCTGCTCTGTGTGAGAGGAGGGAGAACTCAGGACACTTGCTTGCGCCACATTTTTGGGATTCTCAAGTTTTCCCTTCATTCCCCAGTGGGTTTCTGTGTGAGTCCTCACCTGTGCAGGTGCCTCTCCGGATCTCTCTTTCCTCCCCAGCCTGGAGGTCGGGCACCCAGGGCTCTTCCCCTCTTTCCAGCCGGGCGATCAGCTCAGGTTTGGGAACGGGAAACCCTGCACAGCGGGTGAAATCAGAGCAGATCAGGGTGCATGGAGGGTGGGGAAAGCGTTTGTCCCAAGGGACATTCCGTGAGTGGAACCTGTCCCCGGTCTCTGCTGGGGAATGTGCAATCCAAGAGGACGGGAACATGGTCACTAAGCCCCCGGGAAGGGGCAAATGGCTTTGGAGAAAAGTGGAATTTTTACATCCTCACTAGGAGTTCCCAGGATCGGGGCAGTCTGGGGCCCTTGCTGACACTCACAGCTCTGCAGTTACACCCCTGCCTGTTTCTAAACCTGGAGAGCCCAGGTTCCCTTCATGGCTGGAGCTACTTCCAAGAATGGAGGTAAATAAGGATTCTCTGTGTGAATGAGAACCAACACAGACTGGACAATGAATGACTTAGGGGTGTTACATTTTGATTAGTCAATAAGGCAGGGCACTCACTCTCCCAGCTGGGCCTCTGATATTTAAATGTAGTAGGTGCCGCCCAGGGCTCTTACTACATTTAAAAGGCAGGGGTGCAACAGGGAACCCAGGATGAGTGGGTTCTGCTTGAGTCCCTGCTTGCCCGGGGTTCCCTACTGCACCGCCTCTGCCTTTGAAATGTAGGAGAGCTCTTTGAAATGTAGGGCTCTTACTACATTTCAAAGGGAGAGATACAGCTGTGGGACTGGTGCGAGCAGGGACTGCTTACGTCTCCCTTGTGCTGTTTCCCACTGTGCCTCTGCCTTCCCTTTCGCTCGGAAACAGTACTAGGGGGAACTGGCTTTTAAGCCAGTTCCCCCCAGCACTGGTTCTTGCTTCCCCCTCCTTGCTGCCTCTGATACAGAGGCAGCAAGAGGGGGGGGGAGGGGAAAGCGACTAGTCAACTAGATGCTTATATCCCTAGAATGACTTCTGCCCCTTTGAAGGATGGAAGGGGGGAAGATGTGACAGGGTGGGACCAGTGAACTGGCTAAGAAGGAGATAAAACAGGCCTGGGAGAGAGATGGAGCCAATTGGGCGAAGGCTTGAGGCAGCCAATCAGGGCCTGGCTGGGGGATATAAAACTGAAGGAAGTGGGCGCTCAGTCTCTCTCCAACTCCAGAGGGAGAAGGACTTGCTGCCTAGACAGATAAACAGGAAGATGGAGCAGCTAGCTTCCAGGCTCAGGCCCTGAGCTACTACTGCACTGGCCCTACAGCTCAGAGGGAGGTGAGTGAGGACTCGAGAGTGGACACAGCCATGGGGCAGTACCTGTGGAAAGGGAGGCTGCCATCTGGGAGGGATGCAGGGCCTGGAATGGTGGAGAGGGGAAAGTCAGGAAATAGTAAGTGGGACACTGCGGGAGGAGGAGGTTCCAGAGCTTCAAGAGCTAATTCTTGGACCGGCCAGCAGGAGGTGCTGCAGCGCTGTGTGTGATTGCATTATACGTGGGCTCAGCACATTCATTAGGGTTTGACACCCTGGTCTCACTGCACAGGGTATGGAGATGCAAGTCGCTCTCCCCCGGCAGCTGTGCCCATGGAACCCATTCCTGTCCAGGCCACCTGAGCAGGGAAGAACCTGACCCGTGTCGGACACGCAGACCCCACGGCTCCTAATCCCCGAGGGGCCAGGACGCCCTTACCCAGCGAGGTCACCGCCTCGTAGTTCTCCTGCATGACGTCCCTGTAGAGGGCTCTCTGAGCGGGGCCCAGCAGCGCCCCCTGCCCCGGGGTGAAATACACAGCCACCTCCTCGAAGGTCACTGAAAAAACAAAAGTCCCCTGCTGCAATCTCATTCATTACTCGTGAAGCAGAAAGGCGGATACCGTGGAAGCTCTGGGGGAGCGGAGAAGCAGACCCACCACCCACCCTGCTTGGAACAGCCCAGGGGCTTTAGAAGAGGGAGAAAGTGAGAGGTAATGCAGGGGGGGGAGGGTGGAATTGAACCTAGGACCTCTGGAGCTTAGTGCATGAACGAAACGCCAGCTGGCTCTCGGCTGAGGCTGTAGAGCAGACTCATTCATCTCAGTAACTCCGGCATGGGGAGTCTGAAAAATGTTCCCAGCCCTGCCCAGGATGGTTGTGTCCTGCTTGGAAAAAATGGGAACGTCCCCTCCTTCCCTGTCGCCATTTTGTCACATTCTGTCCCCTCCTTGCCTCTCCCTCCCCCTGCCCAGCAGCTCCCTGAAACCCCCTACCTGAGCGGGCTCCATCCCGGCCCTGGCCCCTGGCAGACGGGCGCTCTGGAGCGATCTCTCGACGTGTCTCCTCAGCCTGTCGGGGCGAGAGAGGTGCCTGGGGTTACAGAAGGGCCTGGAGTCCATTTCACACCCTGACTTCCCCCATCCCCAGGCTCCTTGGACTAGAATCAAAGCAAGGAGGTGGGGGCGGGAGGGTCCTGCTATTGTAGAGTGATCCCCTCCAGCTTGCCTTCTCCCCCAGGTGTGCTGCATTTAGCAGCATGAGCCATTGGTCTGTCCTCCCTCAGCACTTCCCATTGTACCCAGAAGAGTCAGGCTTCCCAGGGGCTGCAGGGATAGATCGAGGCAGGGCTGGGAGCTGGGAACCTTCCTCCTCACTTGTCACTCCTCCTGCCCCTTCCAGTCTCTCCGTTTCCATCCTCCCCCCACTCCCTAAGACAGTGGTTCTCAACTCGTTTCAGTCCACGGACCACCAGGCCAATCAAACAATTTTCGTGGACCACCTCCTTTTTGAGGCATGATAAAAAAGAGCAGACAATGAACATTTTTGGTTTGAAATCCATTTTTTACTAACAGATTTTTTTTTTATGCCTGCCCATGCCGTGTGACTTTGGACAATGTTCCTGTGGACCACCGAAAAACTCACCATGGACCACCAGGTGAGATCCACAGCCCTGGGAGAAGCGGGGGCTTTCCCACTGCCAGGGGCCTTTGTTCTCACTCAACCGCTGCCAGCAGGAGTGTGAACCTGGCGGTGTCTGAAAAGGGAGTTCTGGGACTCTCAGACACACTGGGAGAGCCCCCCCTCCCCAACACACCTCGGGTGGACTCACTTGCAGGCCCTTAGTGCAGAAGTTTAGGCAGGGCCAGTCTGCTCACTCCCTGGCGACATCTACACTGGTATGATTTTCCAGAAATGCTTTTAACGGAAAAGTTTTCCGTTAAAAGCATTTTCGGAAAAGCGCGTCTAGATTGGCAGGACGCTTTTCTGGAAAAGCACTTTTTTGCGGAAAAGCGTCCATGGCTAATCTAGACGTGCTTTTCCGCAAAAAAGTCCCGATCGCCATTTTCTCGATCAGGGCTTTTTTGCGGAAAACAAATTTCTGCTGTCTACACTGGCCCTTTTGCGCAAAAGTTTTTCGGAAAAAGACTTTTGCACGAACAGGAGCAGCATAGTATTTATGCAAAAGCACTGACAATCTTACATGAGATCGTCAGTGCTTTTGCGGAAATTCAAGCAGCCAGTGTAGACAGCTGGCAAGTTTTTCCGCAAAAGCAGATGATTTTGCGGAAAAACTTGCCAGTCTAGACACAGCCCCTGTGTGTTAAATGTTTTAATTTGCTTTCTATCATGCCCCCATGCATGGGAGCAAACCGGTGCAGTCCTTGGGAACAGAGCTGGAAGAGCAGCCACCCAAGCAGAACCAGAGTTTTTAGCCCATGTACAAAAATGGGTCTTTTACCATACAAGTCAGCAGTACAGTCGCTGTCTATAAGAAAATGGGGGGTTTCACCATGGGGCAACTAACCTGCCTTTTGCTGTCCCACTACGACAACATAAAGGGTGAGGCCAGGTCTGTGCCCCCCTGCCTGGCCAATGCAAAGGCGAAATCAAGTAACTCGTTTTCAAAATGATTTCACTTTGGCCATGCAGATTAGTGCATTTGCCAGAGGGAAGAACAGCCCCAAAATGCATTGCCAGAAAGAAAGTAGCATGCAGAAAAGGCTGGGAACGGAATACAGGCAACGAGAAGTGGAAACAGATCCATTGAAAAATGAAATCCTAGAAAATTAGTGTGCACAGTGTGGGGGGTAGGAGGTTTACTCATGTTACAAGATTATACAATCATTCTATATCTACAGATTCTTTGGAAGGTAAAGGTATGGATGCTGGTGCACCCCAAAGGCTGAGTTACATAAAGAAATAAAGACATGGGTTTTTTGGTTTTGTTTGATTTAAATTCTAGATTTTTGGGGTGTGTGAGTTATGGGGGTTTAAATTCTTGGGGTTCACACAGAATCACAAAACCGGAAGGGACCTCAAGGGGTCATCAACTCCAGTCCCTGGCCCTCATGGCAGGACCAAGCACTGTCTAGAGATCATCCCTGACAGCTCTCTGTCTAATATGCTCTTAAATATCTCCCATGATGGAGATTCCGCAACCTCTCTGGGCAATTTATTCCAGTGTTTCACCACCTGGATAGGTAGGAAGTTTTTCCTAGTGTCCAACCTAAACCTCCCTTGCTGCAGTTTAAGCCCATTGCTCCTTGTCCTATCCTCAAAAGCCAAGGAGAACAATTTGTCTCCCTCTTCCTTGTGACACCCTTTTAGATACTTGAAAACTTCTCTCATGTCCCCTCTCAATCTTCTCCTTTCCAAACTAAACAAGCCCAATTCTTTCAGACGCCTAGCTCATGTTTTCTAGACAGTTAATCATTTTTGTTGCTCTACTTTGGACTTTCTCCAATTTCTCCACATCTTTCTTGAAATGCGGTGCCCAGAACTGGACACAATACTCTAGCTGAGGCCTAATCAGTGCAGAGTGGAGCAGAAAAATGACTTTGCGTGTCTTGCTCACAACACTGCTGTTAATTGTGTATTTCTGCTTATTGTAGGGTAAAAATTTCTGAGGTAGGCTATGATATTCTGTTAAGAACCCCTATTCTAAATTTCAAGTCTGGAACAGGCATATGAACACCTATGCCAAAGGCACAGCACATGAAGGTTACCCTTCCCCACCCCCCTGCTTAGCTCATCAGAAGAAGGTCATCATAAAGATAACTACCCAGACAATTACATCCCAGGGAAAGGCCCTACGGGACATAACACATTCAATGGAACGAGGAATAAATGCGCAATTGTCATGTACCCTTACTGCATCTGCTTTAATCCCCCAGGTGCAACACCAATGGGTCACATCTGTGCAAAGATACCTTCCTGACACTAACAGACACATCGCCACTTAATATATAATTGACAATTGATGTCTGCTTTGTTTAAGTACTTGTTTAACTTGATGTAAGTGTTCTTTAAGCTATGGGCGGAAAACACTATGCACTACCATTTTGCTTCACGGTTAGCACCGATCCAGGGGGGTCTGGGATCTCTCCCCCACAGTTGCTTCCTCTGCCCATCAGCATCTTATATAATCCATTGTAACCTATTGTCTGGCAGTGTCCACCAAGCCTAACAAGTGAAGGGACACGCCACCCGCGCGGTGTGTAATACACCCTCCTGCTTGCTTCCAACACTTATTAAAATAAATAAATACCATAGAAATTGCCTTTTGAGGATCATTTCATGCCAGACACTACTATGCCCCTAGGGACAGATATTTAGGATTTATAACAGGGTTTCCCAACCTATGGGTCTGGACCCAAATACGGGACAGCATGACAGTTCAAAGGGGTTGCCAGCTGTCTCCACAGGTGGCTCTTAAGGAGCCATTCACATATTTTTTTGAATTGCCCTGGGTCACCAAGTCTTCCTGAATTGCTGCAGAGACAGACCAAATAACTGGCTGCAGCAAGCCCCATGGGTGGCTGAAAGGAAATTGTAGAAGATCTGAGGGAAGCCCAGGAAGTCACTCAGCACTGCACGCCTATGACAGCAGCGCCACAGAAACAGAAATGGTCCCAGCACAACCGTGTGTGTGTGTGTGTGGGGGGGGGGGGGGGGGTATGTCTATTTTTCAATCAAAACTATGAATTCTCCGGCACCCAGACGTCCCTCCACGCAATGATACTGAGGATTAGGAAGAGTCCAGCGTCAAAACAATGGGAACTGAAATTCTGGGAAAGGGGGGAGGAAAAGCCCCCTGCCCCCCTCCCTCTAGTTTTGCCACCACTGCAGCTGGCTCAGCCAATCGAAGGTAACTTTTATCCGCTCTGCCCCCTATTCCTGCGATCCCCTCTGCCGTGTCTAGCAGGGGCCGTACCCAGCTCCCCACCCAGGCTGGCGGCAGCCGCCCCCGGCCCCCGCGGGGGGC